ACACACGGGTATTTTTTTCATTGACACTGCCCGCTACACATTTATATCACATCTCAGTGTGTAGTGTTGATGAAGTTAATGGTAAGGTTAGTCCATTAAAGCTACAGCAGACTAAATAAATGCAATCCATTTAGATGAATGCACGGATTTGCATTCTGCCAATACATTAACACTTTGATTGCCAGAGACACTAGAAGTGCAAGTCAATAATACAGAATGTTAAACGCTGATCTGATATGAAAATGGTTGAAGATCATGTGAGTGATGTACTGGGCTGACCTCTCTGCTAGGAGTACATCCCGTCTTGGGGATATTATTAGCCAGACTGCATCATCACAACACGGGGACTTCACTGCATGACACGCGATGTGTAGCCTCACACAGGCAGCAAAGAGCAGCACAGCAGCAACACACAGCAGCTGAATATTTTATGACTACGGGTCAAGAATCTGCCATTCTAGGCATGGAGGCAAATGGAAGGGAACATCCAACACACTCAATAAAGAAATATAATGAGTTAAAGAGTATAAGAATGTGTTGCACATATATTTTTAGAGTGTGAATCCAGTGGATTTTTTTTTTTTTTTATTATTAACAGGTGAATTTTTTTTATTAGAATGTAATATTTGATTCAAGCTAAAAGTTAATTTTTTTTAACCCACACAAATTAAATAGAAATAAAAGTGTGCACAGTGTCACGTGGAGCACCCTTTTATTTGTATCTGATTTGTTTAAGTTAGGTGTGTGGGAGGCACAATTTGAAGTACTGAATGTGTGTATTATATTTTTACACAGAATTTCCTTTCAAAGGATTGACGTAAAAACAGAGAATATGAGAACCCTGAAAATGGGCACATGCTCTATAGGTTGCCCTCCTGTTTATCCCCGTCCATGTCTCAAAAAAGGTCCCTACAGATAGAATCTATACAATTTACATAGAAGACTGATCCCACCAAGTTCCTCTGCATAAAAGATACAGAAACCCAGGACGTTCCACAACAAGAATCATCTAAAAGAGTAATCCAGATCTGGGCACCATGCTCACTTCGCCCAGAGAGATATCAGCTACACCTCGCTGATGAAACCCAAGGAAGGCCCAAACAATTATCTTAGGTGTGGCGGACCGCTTGGTCCCCCAACTGGGTACCTCCGCCAAGCATGTTACCTAGCTATCGCCGGGATACCATCAGCACTTTAGCCCCTAGGAGCCGCAAGGGTCTCGCCGTCGCTTCCCACCCTGGAACAGGGTCCTGGATCTAGTTTCTAGTGATTAAAGCTCTCCTGCTGAGAGTATAGCTGTATAGCTGGTACACCCAACACAGTCGAGACTGAGTGAAGGGTGTAAAGAAACTGGTTTATTATGGCCAAGTTGCCTGCTTTTATACACAGCCCCCAGCATGGGGTCTCCATTCAATGCAAGACAAAGCCCTTCCATAAAACTCTGTGCCTGGGAGAGAATTGCGTTAAAGACCGGTAAGCTAATTATCTCACAGGAACAGAAAGGCAAACATACAAATATAAAACATAAACATACCTCAACACATCATAAAAATATATAATAACCCCACAAATAAGACATCCCTAAATAGTCTTGATCTGAGCGCCCAGGTTCTCCAAATAGTGGTCAGATCCATGCAGTGTAAGGGAAACACCACCGTTCTGAACGGCCACACACGTGGTCCTATGCCCAAAACAGTTCCAGGGTGTTTGGTGCTTTGGCCGGTCAACATTCAGGAGCTTCTGTGTCCGAAATATAGGGTGCTCTGGCTGGCTTTTAGGTAGTGTTAGTGCCCCTTAGTCTTAGGAACCTTCCCCCCAAAAAGCGCTCTCCTGGCGGGTTTGCAAAGTAGTTCAAAATCCCGGGCCAGACTCCATTGATTGGCTTAGATCAGTCAGCCAATCAGGAGCTAAAGAAGATAGTGAGCGGTCCCCCTAAGGATAATTCTCCCCTAGGGCTTAATCTTGGTGAATATATACACAAAGAAAGAGGTAAAGCCCATCTAAAGGGACTTAAAGATGGGAGAATCTCTAGTCTAATTATAAGCCATATCAAAATAGTGAATACATCTGTGCTTAAATAATCAATCTAAGTAAGAATAAACACAAAAAGCCCTACATAAAAATACTTTCTATATATACTCTACCTAGTGGTAAGGGAACATATTAAAAAGAAGTGTCACTTTAACTCAACCAATGCTATTATAACTGGGAAAGATTCCTTTATTAGATGCTTGGATGAGTACAAAGTGGCTTATCTTCTAAATGTCTGCCATAATCCAGGGAACATTAACTCGATACCTATAAAGTGGAAAGGATCAAAATGTGCTCAGGGTAATATAGGGATCTAGAGGATAATTCTCCACTGTATATATAGGACCGTAAGCATCTTTTAGACACAATTGAGATCATGTTCCCTCTAGTACAAAGTTACAGAAATTAAGCAATAGTTACGTTAGTAACAACCCCTTAATACTTGAAATAAATGGGGGGACAGAGATCAAACCGTATGAGAGATAATCTGTCCTGATTAAAATAATACTACATGAGTGCAAAAATATGCACTAGTGGAGCTCCATATGTACTCCCTAAAAAAGGGGGAAAGAGGATAGGATATGGGGATCTCAGAGAAATGGATGTTACCACGCTAGATGATAACCATAATAGCCTGATAATAAATACCCCCAAGTGTACAATACCAAAAGTCCAAAAATCCCCATATTTCAGGACAGAAATCCCTACAACCAAACTAAAGTTCCAAATCTAAACGCCATGTAAATCTCTCAAATAGACTGTACCTGATAAAGATAAGTATAAATAAATCCTAAATGGTAGACCTAATTAAAAAACAAATCCCCATTCCCACAAAATTTAAATAAACAAAAAGATAACAAAAGAAAAAGAAAAACGCCAAACGCGCGTTTCGGTGCTAGAGTAATGCGCCTTCATTTTAGAGCAGCCTGCCAATTAGTAGCTCAACATTGATAAAAAAGGTAAATTTCTTAGAGCATCAGAGCAAACTCTTGAGAGTTTCTGAGGTATTATATTCCCTATTTTTCCCTTTGAGGAGCTCAACATAGAAATAAATGACACGGAATGCTGGAATAACCACTAATATTTATATAAATAAATTCACACCACAAATACAGGAATACAGGACTTTGAGGACTGTAAAAAAAAAAGGAATGCTGTTATGCAGCCCCACCCATAACATGTATAGTACAATACATTCAGATAGCATTCTGAGTGACTTCTTAGAATAGGGATAAACGAATATTACCATTGGTATTTATAAGTTTAATTGGTGGTACTTATTAGAAACAAGTTGTAAGGGAAGAGACATTCTGATAACAATCTCAGTGATTCCCTAAGGTTATGGAGAGAACAGGGGAAAGCAGAAAAGAACTATGTGAAAGTTAGGGCACAGAATGTCTACATATTATAAGTCAGTATGTAAGAGAAAAGAGACATCTTTAACCATAATAGAGTACAAACCATCTAAGCAAGCATGCCGTCGTACCAGAAAGGATCATCTTGTACCAGGAGAGAGGATACCATTCAAGCCTTTCTGTTACTATGCTGTAACCCCTTTACCAGCAAAGAAGTATTTTCATATTGCTATATTCTGTACAGACGTTTCTAATGCTTTAGAATAAAGCTTACGAAAATATATCGGTGAATCTAAAAAGGCGCTAATTGTGAAAATAAAAATACAATATAAGATGCAAAGAAAAAGCTACTACCACTATGTGTGGGTGTTTCCAAACACCACACCCCAAAGTTAATTACAAAACAAAATATGTGGTCAGAAGTGATAAAGCAAAATCACAAAAAACTACTGTGGACCGCTAAGTGTATATAGACTTAATGTAGTTGTTCTGGTGAGTAGGCTTTTTTAATGTAAACACTGTCTTTTCATTACAATCTAGGAACACCTCTACTGGTCACTCCTCAGATGACCACTAGTGGTGCTTTCTGGGGCAGTGTGCAGAACTGAAGTTGAGAGTCTCTACGCTCTGCAGAGAGACGCTGACCTTACCCCATAAAGACGCATTGGTTTAATGCATATCCTCTTGACATTTACCCCGTTTGAGCAGGGTCCTCTTCAACCTATTGTTCCGGGAAGTTTTTGTAATTGTTTCATTTATTGTTAAGTTTCCCCATCTGATGATATTTCAAAGCACTACGGAATATGCTGGCACTATATAAATACTACTACTACTACTAATAATAATAATATCTATGAGGAGATACTGATTGGCCAGCGTGGCATTTGTCTCCACCCCTTACTTTGCTGAGATCATCAGAAGTGGGTATTTAAGCCAATCCAATGCTTTTCATGTTCAGGTAGATGTTTCTCCATGATTTTCCCTTCTTCAAAACCCCTCCTTATTTTTGCAGTTGATTTGCGAGCAATGAGTCTTTCTTGTGTCTTTCTTTTTGGTGTCTGTCCTAAAAATCCTCACTAGGTGAGGAGTATCTCAGTTCATTATATTTATTAAAGGTTGGCATATTGTATTTAGATGTGGTGTCTCTTGATTTTTTGTGTGTAACTGCCTTAGTTTGTCTGCGTGGTCTCTCATCTACTCACCTCTAAATATTTTGGCCTTGCTGGTAAATGTGATCTTCATTTATGTGTGGACTTTGCTTCTTTTTAGTACTCAAATTATGTGGCAGGTTCCTGAGTTGTAAAACGTTCTCTTCATTTCATGATTCAACATTTGTGATTGTCCTATGTATAATCCTGGATCTTGAAAATTAGTAAATTTGTGATTTTTATTTTGTTTTACTTGCTTGATTACAAGCATAATCATTTTTATCCCTGATAATTTCCTTTTTTTGTTTCTATTATATCTTTTTCCATTTTATTCAAATTTTATTTGTTTAAATGGCTTTAGTTATTTGCTCACAGTCACCAGGTGAACTACAGTTAATTAGAACATTTTGTTGTTTATTAACCCCTTAAGGACCGAGGACGGTTCAGGACCGTCATCGGCATTTTTGCATTGCCAAGCAGCAGACCCTCCCTCCCAGACCCTCCCACCTCCTGGACAGCATCCATTTTACATTCATTGTGAAGCTGCATTCTTAGTGAGCTGTCCAGGAAGTGGGAGGGTCTGGGAGGGAGGGTCTGCTGCTGATTGGCTGGAATGTGTCTGCTGACTGTGAGGTACAGGGTCAAAGTTTACTCAATGATGACATAGGGGCAGACCGAACAGCGCATATGTTCGCCATCCGTGGCGAACCGTTCGGCGAACCATTCGGGACATCACTATAAATAATTATATAAATATACACGTAGACTTCAAATATATAAATATGCATATATATTTAAATTCTACATGCCTATTTATGTAATATTTTTACATAATTAAGTAATTTTATTGATTGCAATTTGAGGGACCTGCCTGCCAACCCAAGCCAAAAGTCCAGAGAATTTAATTTGCTAGCACTGTATTTTACCTTGTTACGTTCTAGGATACCCTAAAACCTGTACATGGGGGGTACTGTTTTACTCGGGAGACTTCGCTGAACACAAATATTAGTGATTCAAAATGGTAAAACATATCACAGCGATGATATTGTCACTGAAAGTGACTTTATGCACTTTTAGCATTTTTCACACAGCACTTTTACTGATGATATAATTGTTGTGATACATTTTCCTGTTTTGAAACACTAATATTTGTGTTCAGAAAAGTCTCATGAGTATAACAGTACCCCCCATGTACAGGTTTTATAGCATTTTTGAAAGTTACAGGGTCAAATATATGGGTCAATTATTTTTACATTGAAAATGGCCAGGTTGGTTACGTTGCCTTTGAGAGCGTATGGTAGCACAGGAATGAGAATTACCCCCATGATAGCATACCATTTGCAAAAGAAGACAACCCAAGGTATTGCAAATGGGGTATGTCCAGTCTTTTTTAGTAACCACTTAGTCACAAACACTGGCCAAAATTAGCGTTCAATTTAGTTTTTTACTTTTTTCAAAGACAAATATGAACCTTAAATTTGGCCAGTGTTTGCGACTAAGCGGCTACTAAAAAAGTCTGGACATACCCCATATTGAATACCATGGGTTGTCTACTTTAAAAAAAAATATGTTCATGTGTGGTGTTATTCAGAGATTTATGACCGATAATAGTGTTACAATGCCACTACTGATAAATTTAAAAAATGTATGTTTTGAAACCGCAATATCCTACTTGTACTTATAGCCCTATAACATGCAAAAAAATAGCAAAAAAGCATGTAAACACTGGGTATTTTTAAACTCAGGAAAACATTTTTAATCTATTTAGCAGTTTTTTTCATTTGCTTTTGTAGATGAGTAAAATATTTTTCAAGTAAAAGTAAAAAAACATGTATTTTTTTCAATTTTTCATCATATTTTTAAAAAAATTTCAAAATAAAATTACATGAGATTATATAAATAATGGTGTGTATAGAAAGCCCTTTTTTGTTCTGAAAAAAAAATATATAATTTGTATGGGAACGGTAAATGAGAGCGCGGAAAATTACAGCTAAACACAAACACCACAAAAGTGTAAAAAGATGCCTGGTCGCAAATGTACAACATCGCAAAAACAGTCCGGTCCTTAAGGGGTTAATATTATCTAACATAATAAAATAAATAAGTGATATAGTCACTTCTCTGGAAATTATACTATTGAATACGATTTTAAAAATTTCCTATAGTCTTTGTGAACCTTTTTGTCATGTGATGCACTATTTTCTCTTAAATTTATAATACAGGTTTAGCAGATGACATCATATTTACTGAATCAGGTACTGAAAGACAGACTGTGATCAAACACATACAGAACAATTCTATTTACATTTTGCCAGTTAAACTGTTGTAGTGCTTCAGAGTATAGTTAGACAAAATTATATGCAACTCTTTTAAAAAAATATTCTGTTGTCTAAGGCTCTAATATTCATTGACAACATACACATAATGGACTCTTAATGCTAGCTTACACGAGCACCAATTCTCAGATTAATTAATGTTTAATTAAAAAATATATATAAAAAACAAAGTAACTATAACTTGTTGCTTTATTGTGTAAACTGAGCATTTATATTTTAAGTAGCACTATTTTTTTAAATACTAACTCTACTAATTAAGGCCTAGATATTTTTTTTTTTTGTATACGTTTTTCAAATAATTTCATATTTTTAGATAAACTTTAAAAATATTTATCATATAAAAAAATAATATGTCAGTATATCAAAATATTAAAATATTTTTCAACCATTTGAAAAGTCTATCCCAAAATATGAAATCGAGGCCTATTTATATAATGTGGGCAAAAGTAACAGGGCGTACTTGGAAACCTGAGTAATCTGAATGTACCTTTCCTGGTTAAATACTTTGTTATTATTATTATATAAGCCACACAGTCTTGCCAGATGTTGCATGGATCCTTCTAAAACAATGCTATAGTGTTTGGGCTTTTTAACCCACAGGGTATAAGCAAAGTATTGCATCTCCTTTTACATGTTCCAGTATCTTTGACCAAACTCTGACAATGCCTCTTATTTTGGAGGGAAAGTTGTAGCCTTAGGATGTCCTATAACCATGATTTTTCCTCCTATTCACAATCTTGGACACAGTACACAGTGCATTGCTTCTTTAACTTTCCTCTGTAGCTTGAGGTTATGTATTTATCGCATAACCTGTGATCTGGGAGATATATCACATAACATTTAGATAACAGACACAATAGCGCCCCTCTCCCCATCTTCCTCCTGAATTCAACCTAGACACCAGGCACCAACAATGACTTCTGTAATTTGTCAGGAAATATGTTATCCCTGGTAGAAAAAAAGATTATAACCGTGTGAAAGCCTAGTGTGAGAGAGGAATTGTATATTCCTAATTCAATTTTTTTTTTTATCAAACAGCTGCTAAAGGATGAGATATAACATTATTATGAAAGCAAAATTTTGAAAGAGAACTATTACTTCCCAGGATTATGAATTGATTATGTTTATTTATCTAAATATATAACAGAAATATTTGTGAGGTTTAAAATAAAAATGAAGTGTAGAAAACCACAGATGTTTATGCAGCAACTGGGCACTGGGCACTCTGTCCTGGCTGCCTGTCAACCAAACTTACAAATTCTGTCTTTTGCACCTGGCAGTCATCATACAGAAAGCACACAGAGAAGAGGAGAAAGGAAATAGTGTTCCTACTTCTCCTCTTCATTAACAGTGTTTGCCTGGGCGTTGACTTGTCTAAACTGGTTTAAGATATAATTTGCTAAATATTTAATCTAAATTTAAAAGAAAACAGAGAATCTTATGAAAAAAGCTCCACACAGGTTCTAGATGATGAGAATATGTTATTCTGTGGTGACAGTTTAGCTTGAAGGCAACTTAAATTGACAATTTTAAAGGGAAACTGCCTACAGAGCTGCATTAACAGAATTAGTGGGACTACTTTGTCTCAGTATTTTTCGTGCACCTGACACTTCTGGACACTGGGCGGAGCTATCACAGTCTTGAAGTGTCACCAGTGACGACTTCTAGACAGTGATATTAACTGTATCTATGGAACATACTTCAGTCTTGCAGGATCGTCCATAGACCTCAATGCTGTACTTATGCGCATGAGTGAGAGTACACTAGTGACGTCAGCTCCTGGCGCTGGAACACCCAGAGCTGAAGACGACCAGCCTGAAGAAAGTTGCAGCGGCCACAAAGGACAGGTTCAGGAACATAAATCTCCAGAGCTGAAGAGGACCAGCTGGAAGCAAGTTGCAGTGTCCACAAAGGACAGGTTCAGGAATGTAAATCACCAGAGCTGAAGAGGACCAGCTGGAAGAAAGATGCAGTGTCCACAAAGGACAGGTTCAGGTACATAAATCCCCAGAGCTGCAGAGGAACAGCTGGAAGCAAGTTGCAGCGCCCACAAAGGACAGGCTCAGGTACATAAATTTCACCTTTCTCTGATTCCTGGCCACCGAACCACCAGCAGCGATGTCACTGTCGGGGAGCTTTGCAAATTATGTAAAGTCCTCAGCAGTGTTAATTTAGTCAATTAACAATTTTCGTCAGATTTAGTTGACTAAAATTTGGGAGATTTAGACTTAAACTAGGTTAAAACTGAAACGATTTAGATGACTAAAATATGCCAAAAACTAAAATGCCTTTTTATTCAAAAGACTATGACTAAACTAAATAAAAATTTGATGTCAAAATAAACTTTGGTATCCCAGGCGGCGACAGTACTGATTTAATTGTCTAGAGTCATAACACATTTAGACCTCTTTGTTTCATTACTATTTGTAATATGTTTATTTTGTGTTGTCTCACAATCCCACATACAGATAATCTGTGTATAGTTTGTGTATTCTAGAGTAGAGTAGCTAGAGTATTCCTGTAGTTTGTTTGTTTTCAACTGTTATATATCACAGCACCCAATGTGTTGGGTTCAGGATCTCCAGTTCCAACTCCCATCATGAGGGTTATATTCTATTTCTTGAAATATAGACTTTTTATAGAATTAATACTCTTTTTTAACATGCACTCTTAAAATTTAAATATTTTAAAAGACAGTAAGAATTCATCCAAGATGTCAGATTCTTCTATAAACATTGAAAGCTATGGCCTTTCCATTTTACATCATGATGTGTTCAACCTTGACGCCATGGATTTTAAAAGGAAGATTTATTAGTCCACAGACTTTGTTTAAGTCCATTTTGAAAGTTAAACATTGTTAAAAAGAATATCAACAAGTTAAAGGTACATTTCCAAGCACCATAACCACTACAGTACATAGTTCTAGAATGGTTTAACATCTTGCCTGGGGTCTATTGGATGCCGCTCACTCCCTTCTGATACAGAATGCTCTCTGTCTGAACCATGGTGGCTGATGGAGATTCCGAGTCTCTGTGGGAAGTGGTATAGATATCCTAAAACAGTTTGACTACTTATAATCGGGGTTCAGCTTTGTGGAGTGTTCCCTTAAGGGTCATCGAAATGATGCCCATACCACTAATATCGCTTCTCGGAAGCAATGTAACAGCCAGGTTGTGTCCATTTTGCATAGAAATCTATGGGAAGTGCCATGCTCTTGCATCGATGTATCAATGAAATGAAACAGTTTGCAAATGTTAACTAATAAATGTTTT